CAGTGCAGCGACAGCCGCCTCACGGTCTCCCCCAAGACCACGCTCGTTGCATCCTCGGCCGCCCTTCGCAAGGACATCGGCAGGCGCATGAGGCAGCACGGAGTCCCAGGCCACGGGGCCCACCACATGGTCGACCTCGGGGTCGACGTCGTCACGGGCAACAGGAGGTCCCAGCGCAGGGCCCATACCAAGCACAGGCGCGCGGCCCTCCGTGCCAAGCGGGTCCAGCGCCTTCGTCGCGCGGCGGCGCGGCTTGGCAAGCTCGGCGCCAGTCTCCATGCCACTGGTGTGCAGCCGCAGGCGGTGTTCGGACACGAGGTCTGGGGCATCGCGCCCTCCAGGCTTACCCAGCTCAGGCGCTCCGCAGCGGCGGCGGCTGCGGGGGCGGGCCCTGGGCGATGCCTCGACACAGCCATGGCCCTGCTCTACGGTGACAAGGACCCCGTCATCAAGCTGCGCACCCAGCTCGTGCACGAGTGGCTCACGCAGTGGCTCGTCAGGCCAGAGTTGCACAAGCGCGTCCTGCGCATCTGGCCCCACGTGCACCACAGGCTCCTCAGAGCCAGGACGGGGAGATGGCGCAAAGTCCATGGGCCTGTTGCGGCGGTCATCGCCACGCTCATGGACGCAGGCTGGCGGCCCTCGTCACCCCACTCCTGGTCGCGCCCCACTGCGCAGGGCGACGAGGAATGGAAAATCCCGCTCGCTGACCACCACGGCCAGCTCCAGGTGGACTTCCACGAGTTCTCGGAGCTGCTGGACGACCTCGCTGTGGACCTCGACCGCCTCCGCTGGCAGCGGGCCAGCCAGCGCGCCCACGGCGCGGGCCTGGGCCAGGCTGGCGATGTCTCCCAGGTCAAGCGTGAGCTCGACCACTGCGCCAAGCACGGCCACTGGCAGGAGTGGGCCCTCAACTACCTCGTCGCGGTTGGGGGGCAATGGCCACGGCAGCGGCAGATTGCCGCAGGATACCAGGGCGACGCAGTCTGCCAGCGATGCTTCGGCGAGGAGGAGACGCTCGAGCACCGCATTTGGCGCTGCCCCTGTAACCAGGGGAAGCCCGCCTACGACCAGACGGCCCACCTCATCCCCCAGGCGCTCAGCGGCATCGAGGAGTGCCCCGCCCTCTGGCTCAGGGGCGTCAACCCTGCCAGCCACACCACTCCGCCGGCGCCGACCTGCGACGACGAGCTCCTCGTCCACGTTGGGGCCCCATGGCCCACAGGCGGCAACCAGCCCATCACGATATTCGGCGACGCCTCGGGGGGAAAGCGCGGCACGGACGAGCGAAGGCGTCGTGTTGGCGTCGGACTCGCGGTCATCGAGGTTTGCCGCCCGCGATGGCGGTTGGCAGCCGGCGCGATCGCGACTCTCCCTGGGCGGCGGCAGACGGTCCCGCGCGGGGAGATTTTCGCCTTCGTCCTCGCCCTCGAGCAGCTGGATGCCGACATCCACTACGTCACCGACAACATGCCGCTCCTCAACGGGTGGAACGCCCAGCGCTGGCTCAACCTCGGCAAGGGCGCCAACAGCGACCTCTGGGCCCGCATCGGCAGGTCGCTCCAGGCCCACCCGAACCGCCAGGTGGGCGTCACCTGGACGCCGTCCCACCAGGAGGATGAAGGAGAACCGATGGTCTCCCATTTCCTCGTAGCGGGCAACTGCTGCGCCGACAGGCTCGCCCAACCTCGGTGCCGGGGCGGCTGCAGCCTCAGCCAACCGCAGCACGCCTCACGCGGACCGCTGGGACGTCATCGCCTCGCAGGTCAGGCGGCGGGCCCGCCAAGCCTTGCTCGACGCGGCGGGCGGCGACCCATGGCTATCGGAGAGGCCCGCGGCGGAGCAGGTGGCCCGCCCCTCTGCCCTCCAACGGGCCATCGACGACTCGCCGCACCAGCTCGTCACCGTGGGCCAGGGCAAGTGGAAGTGCCTGCTTTGCCGGCAGCTCTTCCCCGCGGCTACGCTTCATGAGGCGGCTGCTTCCGCCTGCACCGCCACGGAAGCGGACTGGGCCTCGTTCGACCACGTCCGCAAAGTCTCTGCCGGCATGCAGATCGCCATGGGGACGGGCGTGGTTCACGCCTCCCACCGCCTCTACGAGTGGCCAGCCAACAGCCTGTACTTCTGCGGCGTCTGCGGGGCTCACGGCACCACGATGGGCATGGGGCTGCGAGGCGAGTGCAAGGGCGAGACCACCCGCAAGACGGACGAGGCCCTCAGGAGGATCGCCAAGGGCGTCTACCCGTCGCACCAGGGGCCGCCCAAGCCCGTCATCGAGGCCAAGGCGATTTCCGCCACGATCGCCCACGTGGTCGGCGGCGGACTGGCCCCCGCGGACCCCGCGATCCCCGAGGACCTCCCCGAGGCCGGCACCATGGAGCACCTGCTCGAGGCGGTCATCGGCATCCTTCATGGCCAGGCGCTCCAGGCGGCCCAGCGCCCCTCCCGCAAGCAGGCTCGGGAGCCAGACGGGCCCCAGCCGACTGCTCGGCGGAGGCGGCGCGCGTCCTCGGACACCGGGCCGGAGCAAGGGGAGAACGCTACCGCGGCGGCCACGGTGGCCACCCCGCGCGCCCCCAGCGGGCGGTGCGGGCGGGCCCGGCAGGCCCAGGAGCTCCCGGCGGCGGCACCAGCGCCATTGGTGGGCCAGAGGCGCCGCCGCAGCCAAACTGAGGTTACCGTGCAGGCGACAGGCGGTCCCCTCGGTCCTCGCCTCTGGCTGCCCGACCACACGTCCCCGCTCTCGGGTGCGGTCACGGCGTACTGCGCGGCGACGCCCCAGGCCGGTGGCCCAGCAGGCCCAGAGCGGGAACCCGAAGTGGTCAAGTCCCCGGCGCCTCGCGGGCCCGCCGCCGGGCCCGCCCGCGGGCAGTCGGCGCCGGCTGCGCAGCGGCTCGACGCGGCTCGACGCCCGCCGGCGCGCCAACGCGGCGCCTCTCGGCCCCCCGCCGAGCCGGCAGCGGGCGCGCCCGAGGCCGCCGGCCCGGCAGGCCCAAAGGGGAGGTATTTAGAGAATCCTAAGTACCTCCACCACTGCCGCCGCGCCGGGCCCGCCGGAGCCGCTGGCCGCGCTGCTGCTGGGGGCGCCGCCGGAGTCGGCCCGGAGGGCTCGCCTGCCACCCTCGCGGGGGCCGCCTGCGGCGCGGCTGCTGGGGTCGCTGGAGACGGCCCTGCTGGGGGCGCCGCCCGGTGGGATGACGGCTCGGGGCTCCATCTTCCCACCTCCCCGGGGGCCGCTGGCCGCGCTGCCGCTGGGGGCAGCGCTGCCGCTGGGGCTGACTCTTGGGCCCCGCCCGAGTCGCCGGGGGCTGTTGCGCGCCGCTGGAGGCTCGAGGGAGCCGCCGAGGGCTCCGGCGCCGCCACCGCCGTCGACGACACCGCCCCGGCTGCGCAGCGGCTCGACGCGGCTCGACGCCCGCCGGCGCGCCAACGCGGCCCTCCCCGTTGGCGCGGGTCTGGGCCCCCCGCCGAGCCTGCCGCGGGCGCGCCCGAGGCCGCCGGCCCGGCAGGCCCAGTGCGGGAACCCGAAGTGGTCAAGTCCCCGGCGGCTCGCAGGCCCGCCGCCGGGCCCGTGGCACAGCGGGAGGAAGGCCTCACGGCCTCGGTGGCAGGCGAGCGCACCTTGGCCCAGAAGGTCGCCTACCTCCTAAGCGCGGTGAGAGCTGGCGGTGGCGAGGAGAGGGCGGACACGCCTCTGGCGTCGCCGGAGCGGGCGCGCGCGGCGCGCGGCCCGTCTGCACCTGGCGGTGTATAGGTTAACCGCCCGTCCCTCGACTTCTGGCGCCCTGGACCTCGTGAGCCTGCTCATGGGGGCCAGGGGCGTCGTGGAAGCTGCGCCCACCCACCCATCCTCCTCCTCCTCCTCCTCCTCCTCCTCCTCCTCCTCCTCCTCCTCCTGGTGTTCCTCCTGCTGCTTCTCCTGCTGCTCCACAATGACACACTATGAATACTACTGTCCTCTCTCCCGTGATGACGTCCAGAAGATAGTTATCCGACCCCCCTCCGCGTACTGTTTTCTACAGACAGGATTCCCGGGAACTGGGTGTCTGCTTGGTTTGTTTTCAAAATGTTGCCCCCGCTGAAGCGCTGGCAGCATTTCTGCGCCTCTGGTTGTTCCAAATCGTGCTCCCGCTGCAGCGCGGGCGGTTTCGGTCCTTCCGACTTCCGAATAGGCCCCAAAATCTGAAAAATGCCCCCCCCCCCCCCCCGCCCGAAATAACCATCGGAAGTGATTCTATATTCGGTGTCGATTTCTTGATTTGTGGGGGCCGCAGAAGCCCTCCCCGTCGTGTGTCAAGCGTACCAGGAAGTATCAAGCGGGAGCCCCGTTTCTGCTTTGAGAAAGCGATGTTGAAAGCAGAGCCAGCGGGTGCTCTCCATCAGCCCCGCCCTGTGTGGAGCTAGACTTGGAGCCACGACTCCAGACTGGCCCATACCTCTCGAAGACGATCCACTTGCCCTCCAAATAATCCGGCGCCATGCCATGACATGATGTGCGGTGTTGTGTTCTGCGCCGGTGTGCGATGCCATGTGTTGCGTTGCAATGCTTTGTGATGCAATGCTTCACTGCGCAATGCCACGCCATACTATGGCATGCTACGCTCTGCCGTGCTCTTCTACGCCATGCCATGCCGCGCTCTACCATGCATCGCGTACCCTCTCGCGATCATTGACCTGCTCGACTTCCGACCTTGCGAAAAGAGAGGATCCCTACGCTATAGTAAGGGATGGGAGGGAGGGGTAGGACGTCAGATATGACGCGAGCGCACCTGCCTTGTTCCTCCCCCCTCCTCCCTCCTCCCGCCTCGCTCCTTATCCTCCTCCCACATGCCCCCTTTTCTTCCGCCCTCCTCCCTGGTCTCTCCTGCTGGTTCTCCCCCCCACCTCCCTCCCCCCTCCCGCCCCCCCTCCTCCCCCCCTCCTCCCTCCCCTCCCTCCCCTCCCTCCCCCTCCCTCCCTCCCTCCCTCCCTCCCCTCCCCCCCTCGGGTCGCCGCCCGTCCTTGGGCCCCACGAAGCCGCGCATGGCCCTGCGCATCGAGAGCACCGCGGCCTCCGCCGACAGGGCGGCGGAGGCGCCCTAGGAGCTCCGTGTTTGCTGCTCCGCGCGCTCGTCGTCGTCGGGCTCTTCCTCCTCCTCCTCCTCCTCCTCCTCCACCTCCTCCTCCTCGTCCTCCTCGTCCTCCTCCGTCTCGTCGGTCCTCCTCCTTATCCTCCTCCCCCTCCTCCTCCTCCTCCTCCTCCTCCTCCTCCTCCTCCTCCTCTGCTGCGGCTGTGCGGCGTGCCTGTCGCAGGCGCCGAGGCAAGCGGCAACGGGCAGACCGAGGACCAAGAGCAGCAGCAGCAGAGGGGAGGCCAGCGCCGCGAGGAGGAGAGAAGCTGGTGACACGGGTGGCATGCGCGAGCCCTGAACCCTGAACCCTAAACCGAAGACAAAACAAATTGTCACGCATGGCATAGGCGCATTATAACCTCCTGGTGAAGCACTTTGATATACAAGGAAGGAAAACGATAAGCGAGCAGAGCACCACCAGGTGGCGCAAGCTGCGTGGCGCGAGGGGGCCAACGCACAGTGCGGCGCTCGAGGGGCGGAAACCCTGCTGGCCCTTGGCACTCGAGCTGCCGCTGTGCCGACAGGCCCAGCACTGCGAACTGCTACGCTCGCTGCGCTCATCGCTGTCCTCCTTCTGCCTCTCGGCAACGCAGCGCGCCCCGGGGGAGGTGAGAAGGAGCAAGCCTTCTCACACGGCTCTTCTCGGAAGTCCCCTGGCCTTCCGAGAAGTCTGCTGCGCCTTCCCCGAGGACGCAGAAGGCCTCTCAAAAGCCCGGAGGCCTTCCGAGAAGCACCGCCGCCTCCCGACAAAGGCCGTCTCCTTCTCGCTGCCCCCCCTCGCTCGCCGCCGAGCTCCTCCGTGCGCCGTGCAGAGAGAGAGAGAGAGAGAGGAGGGGCGAACGCACGCGGGCCCGAGAGCTCCTTGGAGTCCGACAGCTGCTTCCCGGCCCGGATGGCCCGAAACGGCACGTAGTGCGCCACGGTCATGCCTGCGGAGATAGAGGCCTCCTAGATGAGGTCGGGGCAGATGAAGTCGGAGGATCACGCCGCATCGCCGATAGACCGCCATGCACCCGCGATGCATAGTCGACGAAGGCGATGCATCGGCGACGTCGACGTGAAGCGAATCAGGCTCCACATCGAGCCGCATCGGCGATGCATCGGCGATGCAGCGCGATCCTCCGACCCCATCTGCTCCGACCCCGTCTAGGAGGCCTAGAGGAGGGGGGGCCCACCGACACCCCGCCCGCCTGCTGGGGGGTGCAAACACCGGGCGCACGCTCTGACACGGAGGGCGGCTAGCCGATAATCTGGCGCGCGGGCGCCAGACTTAAGCGGACGAAGAACTGTGTAAAATACACTTCTCCGCCGTCGCATACGCCTGCCCCAGGGCGGCTGCGAAATGTCTACAGTGGCCCTGTAGGGCTATAAACTTTGCAACCACCCGAACTGAGGAGAACCATTCTCGTGTTGGGAGGAAGGGGTTGGGAGGAAGAAGAGCATGAGCAATAGCACCCAGATGCAATGCACGATACCTTCGACCGCCTACGGGTAATGCTATCCTCAGTTCTCCCAGCCACATCCTCCCAACCCGACAATTGACTTCCTGGCTAACAGACCCAAGTCCGACAGGAACGTGTTGCCTGAGACAAGTCGGGAAGGTCCTCGTGCAGCAAATCCCGTGTGCCTAATCATGCTGCTCGGCCCTCACCCTCGCATAGCCCAGCCGACGCGGAACAAGTGGCTTCGACTTTCGAGCGGAGCAGGTGGGGAAGCGGATATCTCGGAGATGCGCGTGGAGCTCGGCAAGCCCAGAAGAGGAGGTGTCATAGTGGTGCTGCTCGGAATCCTGACTCGCTCGCGGCGGCGGCGGCAGAGGCAGAGGCAGCGAGACAGCGCTCCCCAAGAGGCACCTGTACGGTGGGCCATTTCGGTACTCTGCACATCGGTTTTTTTGATTCGGCTTCCGCTGTGGGCACGGTGCCCCGTGGAGCGCCTTCGGGCCAGCTCAGCCGAGTGGGATCTCCGCTGGCTCGGGTGCTCCCCCCTGACGATGGTGGGCCTGTCTTCCGCCACCACCACCACCACCATAAGTTGGAGGGGGAACGGAGGTGGAGGACGAGGAGGAGGAGGAGGAGGAGGAGGAGGACGAGGAGGAGGAGGACGACGAGGAGGAGGAGGAGGAGGATCCCCTCCCCCTCCAGCTTATGGTGGTGGTGGTGGAAAACAGGCCCATCAGACGACGGCGCGAACCGACGAGCGCCTCGGGATCCCCCTCTGAGCTGCTCCGCAGCGCCGCAGCTCGCGGGTGGCCGGGGGGCACCTGCAACGGCAGGCCCTCGCGGGCGGTGCCAGGGGCTGCGGCGACGAGGGGAGGGGGGAGGGGCGAAGGCCGGCGATGGAAGAGGAAAAGAAACGCCATGGGCTATGGTGCCACAACCGACCGATTGTCTGGCACCACGCAACTACCGAACCTTGAGGGGTTTCACGTGTCGGGCTCTGGGGGGCGATACTCCTTCGACGCTGTTTCGACACTGTCCTGGGCGCTCGAAGTTGCTTCTGGGATGTGGTCGTTGAGTACGATGGAATCAACTTCAGCCATGGACATCAACTTTTGGCACTCCGCGCGGGTTTCTTGGATCTGCGCTGGACCCCCCTTACCTGGCGCGCGGGGCGCGCCAGGGCGGCGCTGGAGGCGCCTCCGGGGGGGGGGGGGGCCAGCGCGGATCCAAGAGATCCGCGCGGAGCGCCAAAAGTTTCTGTTCATGGTGTTTTTTCTCTTGGAAGCGAGGAAGACGAGGGGCCGGAAGAGGAGGATCGGGTGCCGATCGCGCTCTCGATCTCCTCGGGCGAGGCTCCCACGAGCGCGCCGTAGACCGCCGCAGAGGCGATGGCGCCGTGCATCACGTGGTCTATCTTGTAGCTCTTGAGGCTGAAGACCTCGAGCCCCGGACTTTCGACGGATCGATCTTGCCGATCATCGGGGGGCCCAGAGGTCGAGGGACCCCTGCAGGAGGCCGCGGGGATCGGAGGAGGAGCGGCGCGGTTGAGAGAGCCGATCCGCCTAGAAGCCCAGGAGCGGAGCCAGGCCCAGACCCCCGACATGGTGATTTCATCATGACGTGAGAGCCCCACAAGTCTGGACCCCTTCGTGAGGGGACCGGCGTTCCATCCCGAGTCGCTGTCTGGCGGCCCCGAGGGAGGGCACCCAGAGGCCGAACACGGGGAGAATACCGTCCGTCGCCATTCTCGTTCACGACGCGAGGGGGTCCGGGGGCCGACCCCTCTTCCACTGGGCGCGCCCGAAAGGTGTACGGCAAAAATGGGCACGAGGCCGAGCAGCAAACGTTGTCCGAAACCTACCATGGCCGCTGTTGGGCAGGCGAATTTGCGTCTGTGCGCGTGTAGACGTAGCGACCTTACGCCGCGGCTCACGCGCGCCGCCATCGTGGCACACCGCGTGGAGAAGAGGACGCTTCCGCGCGACCTCACGCGGGAAGCTTACGGCTCCGATTTCATCCGTCGCTCAGATGGCTTCGCGGATCGGTAATTCAACGATGGGGTCCTGAGGGATGGGGCCCTGAGGATAGGAAGGGATCAAAGGGTGGACTTGTGGTGTTTGAGGCACCTCGTCCTTAGGACCCCATCCCTCAAGACCCCATCTGTGAACCACCGGTAAGAAGCCCGCGCCTCCTCCCAGAGACCTTGTTGGAAACCTCCGATGCCTTCTGCGAAGCACCCTGTCCTCCCGGAAGACTCGCCCGCCTTGCCCAGGCCTGAGATCATAGCCTCGCACTTGCTTCGAGCCAGGCGTCTTCGCAGACCCCCACGGATCGATCAGGCTCGAACGTTGCCGCAGCAAGATGGAGTCCCGATGTGCATTGATTGGTCGCCCTCCTTGCCCCACCCTGAGGAGATCCTGGTGCCGCATCTGTTTCAAGCCGGGCGTCTTCGCAGACCCCCCACGGACCGATCCGGCTCGAACGTTGCCGCAGAAAGGTGGGGTCCCGAGACTCTGATCGTGATGTTTCCTGATGTTGCATCGTTGTTTGAACCGTCAGATTCCCCTCTCGTTGTTTGAAGCCGCAGCGGAGGGGGAGAAGGGAGGGATCAAGCCATGGCTAGGTCGGGTATGTCCTCCTTCCTACAGGCGGATCTTAGACGACCAATGAAGAACAACCCAAAAGTCACCAGAAATAATCAAAAGTAGTCCAAAACATAGTCCCCTGACTATGCTGTGACTATTTTTGAATACAGTGCGGGCGCGGCCGCAAGAGACCCTCGCAAGAAACCCAGCCCTGGAGACCCGCACGAGAGGTGCGACCGGGGGGACGCCCGGGGCGTCCCGAACGCAGCAGCTCCTAGAACGGCCGCGGGAAGTCACCGAGCAGCGTGCGGAGCGAAGAATCCCAGGGCACCCTGACGAAAAGCATGTGGTTTGATGGGCCTGTTTTCCACCACCACCACCACCACCATAAGCTGGATGGGGAGGGGGTCCTCCTCCTCCTCCTCCTCCTCGTCCTCCTCGTCCTCCTCCTCGTCCTCCACCTCCCTCCCCCCTCCAACTCATGGTGGTGGTGGTGGAAAACAGGCCCATCATGGTTCCTTGCTGCGCGCCCCCACCGGTGTCTTCCTCCCGTGGCGGGGCACGCCCCACTTCACAGGCCGGGGGCGGGGCGCGACGGGTCACCCACAGGGGTGCGCTGACCCTGGCGGCCAGGCCCAGGAGCCGCCGCGCCAGGCCTGGCGTCGCAGGGCCCCCCCTCCGCACCTGACTCGGCCACGCGCAGAGGGGGGGGGGAAGGGGGCGGACGGACCCCCCGGGGGGGAGGGGGGGCGATCCTGCCTACCTACCAGACCACCCCAGTCCGGCCCGAAACACCGCATCGGGCCCGGATTTCGGGTTGGGGGGGGGGGTACGGGGGTACGGGTTCCGTATGTGTTTTCAATGTTCCTCGACGTCCCCCACCAGTGGAAGTGGATGGCAAATTGAGGCCTGACGGACGGACGGCACGTCAGACACCTAGGCGGTGCGTGGATGAAAACGGCAAGACGGACGTGTGTATCGCAGACGGCCGAACGCCGCGCAATCAGCTTTTATCATCTCCACAGATAGAAGCGGAAAGGAAGGAGAGAAGGCAGAGGAGGCGGATGAACGGGGGGAGGGGGCCGATCCTCATCCCCATCCCCAGCGGCCGATCCCCATACCCAGCCGATCCCCGTCCCCAGTGGCCGATATACACCCCCCCCAGGAGGTGGGCATACAGTCAAAATCTGTCGTAAGGACGAGCTGTAACGGCGCAAGACCCTCGGACGGTCCTTGGACGCCCCAGTCGAAGTTTTCCTAGCGGCGCACTGCACTGCCGAACAAATCCACGGACGCAACGGTGCCCTTGGGAAACTTACCCGTCCTTACTATGGACATTCACTGTGCATGATCCCAGGCTCAGGGCTCACAGGCCCCCCGTCCATCCAGATGGGATGGATCCCAAGGTTCTCGGCCCGCCCCCCTCCGTTGACGGGACGACGACGACGACGACGACGACGACGACGACGACGACGACGACGAAAACGACAACAGCACCGCAGCCCCAACCCACACCCACACGGAGGGGGGGGGGGGAACGCCACGCCCCAGCACCCCACGCCCACGGAGCCACGACCTCAGGGGGGGGGGGAGACCCATCGCGCGGAGAGGGGAGCCGAAGGCTTCAGCATGGGGGGGGGGCCGGGAGCCCCTGGATCACACATGTATATTCCTCTTCCTATATGTTTATAAGCCCGGGCGGGGGGAAACCCGTCCCCCCCCCCAACACCAGTCTCCCGGGATTCGGGGCTTTGGGACCCTCCAGACGGGCCTCGAAGCGGCCACCAGGCCTCGCAGGGCGTTTTGCCAAGCCTTCCCAGCTCACCTAGGGCGATCAGGGGTGTCATCGGAAACGTCCCAGAGACCTCCAAGACAGCACAAGAGCGCTCCGAGAGTGACCGACGTGACCTCAAGATGGCCCAAGAGGCCTCCAGGACGGCCCCAAAGAGGCCTCCAAGAGCACTCCCAAGAAGGCCCCCCGAGGCAAAAATCATTGATGTTCTATTGTTTTTTCGTGAATTGTGGGGTTCTCCTCTTTTCGGCTTCCCGACGCTCCAAGACGGCGGTCTTCTGGGCGTCCGAAGCCGCCTGGGAGGCTCCAAAATCGCCCTACAACCATCTGAAAGGGCTTCCAGGCAGTCCAAGAGAGCCCCAAAACGGCACAACACGGGTCCAAGATGGCCCTCAGAGAGCCCCATGGCCGCCCAAGATGGCCCAAAGACACCCTCCGAAGAATTCCAACTCGTGATTCGGTCGTTCAGGGAGACCGCGGTTGGACGCAGGGTGGCCCGAGGAAGCCCCCGGAGGCCCCCAGAATACGCCTAGGAGGCCTCCAGAAGGCCTTAAGGAAACCTGAAACAACTTGTGTGAGGCCCCTAGAGGCTCTCTCCAAGGAGGAGCCTCCGCAAAAAAGAGCTGAGGAGGATGGGGAGAATGCGCAGGGTATGGCGGAAAAAATGAAAACGAAGCATGGATGAAGGAAACTAGTAACATTATTATAGCGGCGTTGCCGGAAACGGCAACCAGGAGTTATCGCTAAATTGTTGGCTTGACCTTCCTGCTATTCCGCCTGCGTACCAAGCTTCAAAGACCAAGGTGCATGGCGCGAAGCGCAAGTGCAGTCTTGTATATATATATATATATAAACAAACATGCCTGTTCCTTCGGACTTCGCGGGGCATGCCCCTACCGAGGAGGGTGGCCGGTGGGGTTGAAACGCCATGCCCCACTGGGGATGGGGATAGATTAGACGAGGCCGAGAGGGGACGAGAGGAGAGGCTGAAGGCAATTCCAGGGAGACCTCTGCGGGCATTTTTTACCCTACCATCCTGTGGCGTTGGGTCCTCGTTTGACAGCGCCGCGCGTTCCTCTCCTCTCCTCTCCCCCTCCCCCTCCTCCCATCGTCATCACCATCACCATCACCATCACCATCACAACCACAATCACCACCACCATCATCATCAGCATCATCAGCATCATCAGCATCATCAACATCATCAGCATCATCAACATCATCAACATCATCACCACCATTACCATCATACTCACAATCGTCATCATCATCGTCATCGTCATCACGAGCGTGATCACCACCATCACCAGCATGGCCGTCATCATCAACACCATCGCCATTAGCTTCGGCACGACCTTCACGTTTCGTGGCCCCACCGAAGGCACCAGTGCTACCGGTAGCATGCGTCACCACCACCCATTGCAGCGCTTCGTGGTCCTCTAGGGAACTCCACCGAAGGCCCAGGTGCTACCGCCCGCATGCGTCCCCCTCACCCAGTACAGCGTTTCGCGGCCCCATAGGGAGCTCCACCGAAGGTCCCAGTGGCGCAGTTCGTATGCGCCTCCCGGCCCCATAGTGAGCTCCACCGAAGGCACCAGTGGCGCAGTTCGCACGCGTCTCCCAAACCCAGTACAACGTTTCGTGGTCCTATAGAGAGCTCCACCGAAGGCCCCAGTGGCGCAGTTCGCACGCGTCTCCCCCACCAAGTGCAGCGTTAGTACAGCGCTTCGTGGCCCCATAGGGAGCTGCACCGAAGGTCCCAGTGGCGCAGTTCGCACGCGTCTCCCAAACCCAGTACAACGTTTCGTGGCCTTATAGGGAGCTCCACCGAAGGCCCCAGCGGTGCAGTTCGCATGCGTCCCCCCCGCCCAGTACAGCGTTTCCTGGCCACAGAGGAAGCTCCACCGAAGGTCGCAGTGGCGCAGTTCGTATGCGTCTCCCCCACCCAGTGCATCGCTTCGTGGCCCTATAGGGAGCTCCACCGAAGGTCCCAGTGGCGCAGTTCGTATGCGTGCCCCCTCACCCAGTACAGCGCTTCGTGGCCACATAGGGAGCTGCACCGAAGGTCACAGTGGCGCAATTCGTATGCGTCTCTCCCACCCAGTACGGCGTTTCGTGGCCCATAGGGAGCTCCACCGAAGGTCCCAGTGGCGCAGTTCGCATGCGTCTTCCCCACCCAGTACAGCGTTTGGCGGCCCCGTAGGGAGCTTCACCGAAGGTCCCAGTGGCGCAGATCGCATGTGTCCCCCCCACCCAGCACAGCGCTTCGTGGTCCATAGCTGACGACGATACCCGCAACTGCGGGACTCACAACTGCATATGGTTGGGTCCTTCGCCAGGGTATTCTTTGAAACGACCGCTGCGCACAACGTGCGGCGAAAGCACACGGGGCGAGGCCGCGGCCGCGGGGTGTGAGCAACCCGACCCAGCCGTTAGGCGCGCGCGCGTGCCCGCGCCTTAAGAGGAGGACAGGAGGAGGAGGAAGAGGAGGAGGAGGAGGAGGAGGAGGAGGAGGAGGAGGAAGAGGACGAGGAGCTACTATCGGGGAGACGTGGGACTCGAGTTTGGGGGGCTCGAGCTGGCCTGACGGGGCTATCAGAAGCATGGCGGGACGTAGCCTGCAATTTGTCAAGAACTCTCGCTGCAAACATCTCACAGCAATTGGACGTCAGAGTTCACGCTGGGATCGTCACCAAATTAGCCTGGCGAAAGGCCCATCCATATGCAGCTGCGAGTGCCGCAGGACAGGTGTGCACTAAGGGAGAGGGCGAGCAAAAGGAGTAATGAAGGCGCGCGTGAGAGAAGGACGGAGCGACGATGCTGATGGGGTCGCAAGGGTCAACTGCAACGGGTTACATCTTGATGTGACCCGTCACGGCTGATCTGAGTCTTTGTCGACCCAGTCCTGGGGAGCAGCACGGCGCGGTCTGGGAAGCAGCAGACGGCGTGGCCTTTGGTGAGCCCCTATGGGGCCACGAAGCGTGTGAGTGGTATGCCAAAATAGGCGCGGTCACGCAAGAGGTTCCTGCCGATGGGGCATTCGGTAGAGCTCTTGGCGGCGAGCGCGGGAGGAAATGAGAAGGAGAATGAGAAGGCCTCCTCAGAAGGCGGCGGGATTTCTCAGAAACCCTCGCGCCTTCTACTAAGTTTTCTGTCTTCGGGGAAGGCTTAGAAAACTTCTCAGAAGGCCGGGGGACTTCCGAGCCTTCTGAAAAGGCCCGCCCATGCTCACTTCCCCCCTCGCTCATCGCCGAAGCTCCCCAGTGGGCCGCGAAACGTGCGAGGGGTGCGCCGAAATAGGCGCGGCCACGCATGCCATTCCCGCCACTGGAGCCTTTGGCGGAGCTCCGTATGGGGCGACAAAGCGTGCAAGGAGTGTGCCGAAATGGGCGCGGTCATGCATGCGATTCCTGCCAATAGGGCCTTAGGTGGAGCTCCCTATGGGGGCCACGTGTGAGGAGTGTGCCGACATGGGCACGGTCACGCATGCGAGTCCTGCCACTGGGGGCCTTCGCTGGAGCTCCCCTTTGGGCCACGAAACGTGTCAGGGGCGTGCCGAAATGGTCTGGCCAATGGAGCCTTTGGTGGAGCTCCCTATGGGGCCACGTGTGAGGGGTGTACCAAATTGTGGGCGATCACGCGTACGATTCCTGCCAGCGGAGCCTTCGGTGAGCTCTCTGTTGGGCCACGAAACGTGTGAGGGGAGCGCCGAAATTGTTTGGAGAAGACATGCGAACGCAACCACTGGGGCCTCAGGTGGATCTCCCTATGTGGCCACCAAACGTGTGAGGAGTATGCCAAAGTGTGGTGGCGAGGGCATGCGGGCACAACCACTGAGGCCTTAGGTGTACCTCCGTATGTGCCTACGAAACATGTGAGGGGTGCGTCAATAAAGTGGGGTGGTGGCGGCATGCGGGCGCAACCACTTGGGCTTTAGGTGTAGCTCCCATATGGGGCCACGAAACGTGTGAGGGGTGCGCCAAAGTGGGGGTGGTGGCGGCATGCGGCATGCGCGCGCAACCTCTGAAGCCTCAGGTGGAGCTCCGTATAGGACCACGAAACGTTTGAGGGGTGCGCCACAGTTTGGCGGCGGCGGCACACGGGCGCAACCACAAGGGCCTTAGGTGGAGCTGCGTATGGGGCCACGGAGCGTATGAGGGGTGTGCCAAAATGGGGTGTTGGCCGCACTCGGGCGCAACCACTGGGGCCCTAAGTGGAATTCCCTATGGGGCCGTGTAACGTCCGAGGAGTGTATAAACGTGGGGTGGTGGCAGCAGGCAGGCGCAACCACTTGGGCCTTAGGTGGAGCTCCCAATGGGGCCGCGTAGCGTGTGAGGGGTGCGCCAAAGAGTGGGGTGGTGGCGGCATGCAGGCGCAACCACTGGGAGCTCCCTATGGGGCCACAACACGTGTGAGAGGTGTGCCGAAGTTGGGGTGGTCGCGGCATGCGGGGGCAACTACTGGGGCCTTCGGTGGAGCTCCCAATGGAACCACGAAACAAATGAGGGGTGTGCCAAAATGGGCGGGCGTATCTACTGAAGCCTCAGATGGAGCTCCAAATTGGGCCACGCAGCGTGTGGAGGTGCGCCAAAGTGGGGTGGTGGCGGCATGCGGGCGCCACCACTTGGGGCCTTGAGGTGGAGCTCCCTGTGGGGCCACGAAACGTGTGAGGGGTGTGTCGAAATCGTGAGGTGAGGGAGGAGGGGGAGGGGGAGGGACAAGCTAGATGCGCTCGCGTCATATCTGACGTCCTACCCCTCCCTCCCATCTCTTACCATGGCGTAGATCTACTCTCCATTCGCACAGTCGGATGTCGAGCAGGGCAATTATCCCGGGAGGGTACGGTACGCGATGCATCGTAGAGCACGGCATAGCATGGCGTAGAAGAGCACTGCGAGGCGTATCGTGTCACAACATGACGTGGCATTGCGCAGTGGAGCATTGCATCAGAAAGCATTGCAACGCAAAGCATGGCATCACACAACAACGCAAAACACAACGTCGCGCTGCATGTCATGGCATGGCACCGGGTTCCTTGGAGGGTAATTTGATCGTCTTCGCGAGATTTGGGCCGGTCTGAAGTCGCGGCTCCATGTTCAGCTCCCTGGGCTCCCCAGAAAGCTTCCCACGAGGCGGGGCTGATGGAGAGAACCCGCTTGTTCTGCTTTCAACATCGACTTCTCAGATCAGTGACGGGCTCCCGCCTGATCTTCCTCAAAACGACGACGCCCCAACGAATCGAATCGACACTGGATGTGTAATCGCTTCCGATGTTTTTTCGGGGGGCCATTTTTTACATGTGTGCTTTTGAGAAGACGGGAATGGCCCGCGCGACCAGAATTCGGAACGAGCCGAGGCACGGGAATGAGGCCAGCGCTGCAGCGGGAGCACGATTCGGAACGAGCGGAGGCACGGAAATGATGCCAGCGCTGCACCTGGAGCACAATTCGGAACGAGCGGAAGAACGGATATGAGGCCAGTGCTGCAGCAGGAGCTCGATTCGGAAGGAGCGGAAACCAGGCCAGCGCTTCAGCGGGAACAACATTTTGAAAACAAAACCAAACGATAACCCAACTCCCAGGAATCCTGTGTAAAAAACAATGCGCGGAGGGGGACCGGATATCTTCCGGACGTCATCAGGGGAGCGAGGAGAGGTTTCAGATTGTGTAATTGTGTAGGGAGGAGGACGGAAGGAAGGAGGGAATGAGGGAAGCCACCCGGAGCCGCTGATTCACACGAGGACCTAATTCAACAGAGGATGATTGGGAACATAATCCGAGCCCTAGCAAACTCGAGTCTTACGTTGTTCCAATGCCACTCAGCTGGACCAGGGAGCGTCTGCGCTGAGTTCAGCCAGACTCAGCCATTCCAAGCGCCGCATGGGGCCCGGCTGGGCCAGGACTGAGCCGGACTGTGCTGGGTGCTGGAGTAGTACCGAAAGGACGCCAGGGCCGATTATAGCGAATCCAGCCTCCCAGGATGTGCAACTTAAGAGACCACAAGGGACGAACAAATCCACGTCCGTGCCCTCGCGGTCTGGACACGGAAGCGCGATCCCATACGCGCGAGCTCCGCGCGGGGCATCCGCGCAAGGCCGCCCTGCGCCTGACCCGTGGGGCCCCGGCCCAGGAGCCCGAACGGCGAGGTCATGGACGTGGACACGCGTCCCCGCCCACGAAGAAATAGCCCAAGGCAGGGCCAGAAACGAGAAGAACAGGAAACACACGGGCGACCTCGGCAAGGCGGCCCCGGATCTCGTCCAAGCAAATCATTGCCCTGAGCGCCGTCTTCCCGTTGACGGTCCCGGTCACCTGCGCGGCGGCCATGACGACCCCGTAGAAGTCGTTGTGCCCGAACTCCCCGGCCGTGTGGCCTGCGGCAGGCGACGCCGGCCCTCCGCGCCGACAGCCAGTCCGGGCCAGGCCAGGCCTTGGCCGAGGATCGGTCCAGACAGGATCGGAGTCGGTGCCCGGCTGGCGTCCCCCAGGCCTGGGATCGAGGGGTTGTACCCGAAGACGGTGCCGTTGGAGTCCCACTCTCTCACCGCCGCCGCGTTGGCAACCACGGCCTTCTCGGGCGCGCAGCGCTGCGAGCTGCCGAATACGGTCGCGCCGCGGGAGTCTGGGTACTCCAGTGCCTCGCTCCGGAGACAGCACGGTGCATTGGTTTTCAGGGCCAGCGCCGAGATGCCGCACATCACGGAATCCGTGTGGAACATCTCGATCCTCTCCCACACCGTGGCATCGATGTTGTCGCCATATTTTCCAGAGATGAAATCGAGCGCGTACTGCGCAATTCCCAGTGCCTGGTTAGAGTCCGCAGGGAGGGTTATGGTCGTCGGAGCCATGCTCCCCAGCTGATTAAAATGCTTGCCCACTTTGATACTGCATGAGACTTCAGCCTAAACGGCTACCGCTTCTACGTTCACCAAAGCTGCGGCCGATGTATCACCGTTCAGGCATTGCTCCAGTAATGCGACGAATGATGCGGGTAACCCGTGCCGAATGTCTCGGGCTGCGAAGAGATCCGCCCAGATTCGCCACCTCGCCCGAACAACCGCCAGCGGGAGAAAATGATGCGACAGATGACGCGACTCTCCCAAAGCCAACTCGCGCATTTTCTCTTCCCAGACCTCTGCATCCTGTTGGTTTCAATGCGCAAGGCTCCAGATCTGTCGACGCCATCGTCTGTATGAATTTCACTCCGTCGTTTGTTTTTAATGGAGTCCTGGGGCCCGACAAGAGAACCTTCCAAGGCCCAGTCCAAAACGTACCAGCCGTCATGACGCTAGGTCCAGCTTTTTGGTTGGTCGGAAGTCGCGCCTGGGAGCGCCGTTCGGGAAGGTTCTGGCATCGCCAGGCAGCTCACCACAAGTCAAGGCGCCAGGGAGGCAGGAATCCTGCAAAGATCTCAGATGCCCTGACAAATCCCACCAGCACACAGGACACAACATCAAGCTAATAGTGCAATTCAACTCTGTAAACAAACGTCCTTACATAATTCACTGAAAATGAAACGACGTATGAAAAAATCATGGTTTCATACGGGGTAAACGGAATACTGATTGAAGTTTGTTTGTTGGAGAAATTCTGGCTCAACGCACAAGCACATACTGAATACTGCAGCTTTTGGCTAACCACTAGATCTTGACACACACACAGGCACACACACACACACACACACTCATACACAAACACTCATACACTCACACCACTCAAACACTCTCTCACACACACACACTCACACTCACACACACACACGTACACACGCAAACACACACACACACACTCACATACATAAACACACACACACACACGCGCAAGCAGGCACATGCACACACACACACACGCGCACACACACACACACGCACACGCGCAAGGAAACGCGCACGCACACGCACACGCACAGGCACACGCACACGCAGACGCACACACACACCATACACACATACACACACGCACGCACGCACGCGCATACACGCACACACACCCACACACACGCACACACACACGCACACACACACACACATACACACACACGCACGCACACACGCACACGCGCACACGCGCACACGCGCACACGCGCACACGCGCACACGCGCGCACGCGCACACGCGCACACACACACTCACACACACACGCGCGCACGCGCGCACGCGCCCACGCGCACACACACACACACACACACAGACACGCACGCGCGCACGCGCGCACGCACGCACACATGCAGACACAGACACAAAGACACGCAGACACGCAGACACACAGACACGCCGACACACAGACACACAGACACACAGACACACATGAAGACAGATAGACAGACAGACAGACAGACAGACAGACAAACAGACAGACAGACAGACAGACAGCCACACACACACACCACCACCGTGACAAACATTGCACCGAAATCAACAGCTATAAAATGATCCTTGGTGCCCAGGCCCGGTGAAACGAATGCAGGGTGTTTCTTACAACGTGGGTACTGTTTGGCTGACGCATGTGTTGTCTATGATACGGCGGGAGCGCCTCTTGCCCATTGCCTATTGGCTGCATTCGGCGCTGATTGCATTCGGCCCAGATACATCCGGTCTTGATTGCAGTCAACCTGGATGCGTTCGGCCGCCGTATGCGGTGGGGACCGGGCCAGTGGGACCCACAGGAAACATGGGCCCGGGCGCATTCGGCGCCCGAATGCTTCCGGGCCGAACAAACAGTGCCCAACTCATCCATGCCGAACGGCATCAGACCGAATGTAATCAGCGCCGAACGCAATCAACAGGCAAAAATTAGGCAACAGGCCATGAACAATAGGCACGATGAACAATCAATAGACAATATCAGGCATACTGAACCACCTGCCGACCAAATAAGAAAAAACGCACCCTGTACGCACTCTTGGTACCCAAGACACGTATTGAATGCCGATGGTATGGGTCATTGGTCCCAGATAAGCTTTCTGGGAGCTGCAAATCTGAGCTCTTGGTGCCCAGAACATTACTTAGGCCCCCCAAAAAGCGGCCGCGCTTCTTTCACGTGTGGCGCACTATGCCAGACACTGCAGCTGCTTGTGAGTACGATGCAAGCTCCACTTCAGGAAGTGGGTGTACACTCCGAGGAATGCTCAATCACATGCCAGCCACAACCGCAAGTTCCACCAGGAAAGCGAGCTCCCACTCCTCCGCAGTGGGTGTTTTCGAAAAGAGCGTTTATGGCATCTTGGGGCATATGTGCGACAAATCCCTGCGGCAAATTCAGGTGCTGTCTACTCACAGCTACACGCCGGTCGGAAGAAGTAGGTATCAAGTAGGAAGGCGGTGAAAGCAGATTGGGCTCAGGCCCTCCCCAGATGATAACCACACATGGCGAGAAGCATGTCGACGTTTGAGGTAGGACGGCGCTTGAAGCAGATTTGAGATCTGGGAGTCCCAAAAATGCCTACGTTCGACGACTGGCGTGAGTGAGCACAAGCGCACCACAGCATCTGCTCGCAGGGGGGCCCGCAGAGGGGGCGGGGCCGCCCGGCGAGGGGGTGCCATTGGCGAGGGGTCGGGGCCCGCCGACGGGTGGGCCCCACTGAGGGATCGCGGGGGAGCTGGGCCGCCTGCACAGGGCCCCCAGGTGAGCGGTGGAGCCGCCTGCAGCGAGAGTCCCTGGGTACAGTCGGCTCGTACCTTGAGGACGCGCGATGAGGATGCAAGGGCCTTGGACGCCCTCTTCGAAGCTTTTCGGGCGGGGCGCGGCCAACGAAAGTGGCCAAGGATGGGCCGAGGAGGCAAGGATGCAAGGGTACCCTTGGGAAGGTGGCCCATCCTTACCATGCGGGTCGACTATAAGACGAAGCCAGGACGAGGCTAAAATCGGGTGAGGATAAATAGAGAATCCCTGAGGTCCGGCAGCTCTGGGGGATATATCGGGCGCCGCGGCATTCTCATAGCGTTCCTGAACGCTCTGAGAGCGTTCCAGGACTCTCTGAAACGGATTGATCCTCGTCCTAGGCCCGTCTGAATGGGGGGTGGCGTAACATATACCATACTACGCTCACAATACGCCAACAATTTCTGTCATGTTTTGGGAGAGGGATGGCGGCATTGCAAAACATGCCTTTTGATTGCGGAGGCGTCTATCATGATGCACAGGGTAACGCCTGGATATGACCTGTGGGTCTATACCGAGCTGTCATCCATCACTGCACGAGTCAATCTGGAACGTCTCTTGCATGGCCTGGTGGAAGTCGTACACGAAAGTCCTGCACATTGATTTGTAGCAGGTGCACGCGCACTTCTTCGTTTCTGCGCAGACTGCGTCGTTGAACGCACACGGGAACCGATTTGAACAGGTTCCCCTTGCCCGGGTAAGCACATCAGAATTAAGGAGCGACTTTAAGGGAGCATTTGCCAAGGCCACATCCCGACCAAGAATTGGGGCAGTGCACACTCGTTCCAATTCCTTCCTGAAAGGGTTGGGTGGCAAGTAGCCCAGTAAATACTCCATGCCCTTCTTGAACTGACCATACTTGCTCTGCGCAAACACATGAATGCTGTAAGTCGGGAGCAAAGCGCGAAGCACGCGCCTCGCTCGCAGAGTTTCCGTCGCAGAGAGGTCCGCATAGTAGTGACATATGAACCTTGAGCCAACATTGACCGCTGGTGACACCTGGCCGCGAACACTTTTTGGATATGTCGGGATCAACCCGTCCTGGCTAAGGCCAACCCCCCGCATACCAATGCGGTCCCATAAAAGAGGCAGCAACCGCAGCGTATTGCAAACAAACACTTCTCTTCGTGCCATTCTTCGCAGATGAGACTGCAAAGGCTCTGCTGTCAACACAGACTCCCACCGAGAACCAGTCATATTAAGACCCAACTCACCCCAACTCTTTCCGTTGGCCACTGGATCCGCGTCTGATGCCAATGCACTCTGAAAACCGTTGCAAGTCTGGCTGACATCGGCGTAGGACGCAACGTTGTTCCGATGGAACAGGACGAGCAATTGGCGCCGTGCTTGTTCTTCTGACACGTTTCCAGGAAAAGGACAATCGCGCTGTGCGTAACTGCTGCTAGCAGACGCCGTTGCAAAGCCACCGTCACTTGCAAGCAGGTCTGCACATCCACCATCACCCATGTCCAAATTCATGTGCAACTTCTTCGTGGGAGAATTGCAAATACGCACGCGCCCATTACCACCCTTTGGCAAACACATGGATACGTCCTCTGGCACGCTAAAACCCCAATGCCAATCGCAAAACGTCTGCTCTAAGCAACACATGCCCTCCGCCAAGGCTTCTGGTTCGAACCATCTGCCGAAATTGTTGCGCGCTTGCAAGAGGGAGCTGCTGTCGTGGAAACGAGGTGGGTAAGCTCGGACACCTTTCGAACCCTCGGGACAGGCCCCCACCCGGCAACAGCACGCGGTGGTGCCTAAGTCCATCGTAGGATCCATGCCGTCATCCTCATCGTTCGGATCTTCGCCAGAGATGTCAGAACGACCATGTTGCGAAGACTGATGGGAGACCCTCGTGCTACAGCACTGCAAGAGCAGTTGCCCCAATACAAGAATGAAGACTGCGCAAGCCAGCGGAAGACTATGATTTCCCGACCTCATGGGCAAGGAAACCACTGACAGAATTTTGCAACCGACTCAACCTTGAACCCAACAGGATCTTGAGCCGAAATGGCTACAAGTACAGTGTACCACCATACTGGTAGCATATACCGGCACACGCTCCAAAGTAGTTGTGTTCGCATTCATCTGTGCTGCCATACAAACACAGACATATTCATATTCGACATCTATGCCGAAGGATGCCCCCCAATACAGGAAACCAGCATTCGCTCCCACCAAA